GTCCCCCCCCCCCCCACCCCCCACCACACACACACCCACTCCCACCCCGTCCTCGCTGGTCCATGCCTCGAGTCGATTGGCAGACTGGCTCAACACCATTCCACATCCGATCGGGACGCATCACTGGCCACCATAATAGACATAATGGTGGTGCAGTAGAATAGTGGAACTGTGCAAAAGCTGGCCTAAGCATCATTATTGTTATAAAAAAAAGGTTGTAACATTGTATAGACCACAACCTGGGGGTCTTTGTTGGAGAATCTTATGCCGTCTTGTTCACATTTAATTTACAGCTACTTGCAAATTAGCTACCATTTCTAGTTTCAGTTCAAATCTCAGATATGAAAACTTGATCACAGCTTTCTGCAGAGCTCAGTTGAGGAAATATGAAAACTTGACCACTTGATATGATCACAGCCGTTGAATAAATCCGTACAAGGCTAAAAATAAATCAGATATGAAACCTCTGAGAATTTCCATTTGTTTTGTATCATTGTCCAAAGGAATTCAGTACACGCACGCTGACACAAGCTTCTTTTTGAAATATGAACAAAACAAAGTCCATGTTGTCACGATCCCAACCTGTTCGTGCTGGCGCCCAACACACTGCTAGGCAAGCCCGACCAATTCAACAACCTTAACCCTTTTTATACAGTTCATGATTCAATTAACACAAATAATTACTAAGTCATAATACTGAAACTCTGACATATAATTAAAACATGCGGAAAACCCAAGTAGAAATACTACTACACAACCCGAAGAATCCGGTGTCACAAGTCTGAGCCTCTAATACACGGGTGTCAACCTACTACATATTGCTCTAAAGAAATGCGGAAATAAAGCAAATAGGTTAGATGGGAAGATCAGGACTGCGCACGTCATGCAGCTACCTTGATGCTCCCAGATATGATGCTCGGCAAAGAAATCCTCATTCAGCCTCAGTGGGTGCACCTAGATCTGCACACAAGGTGCAGGGAGTAATGTGAGTACTTCCAACCCAGAGAGTAACAAACATAAATAAAGGCTAAGAGTAAGAAATCCTGGATAGGCACAATATAAGCTATTATTACAGCAGTTTAAGCCACATAATATCAAATCAGTAAACCAATGAAAGACAATAATGCTACAACAGGTAAGTAAATGAATGCCAATCAAATAAGAAATGCAACCCGTAATACGGTATTCTCTAGTACCCATTGCGGCGTGCAGCCCGCTCCACTTATTTATCGTCGACGGCGCTCACTGGGGTGTGCATACTCCGGGAGGGGCCCCTTACGGCCCAAGCGCAATATCAAGCCATCTCGTGGCATCCACTAGTCCCTAAGCCTCATATCAATATCAATATAATACTGCTGCGGCGCGCAGCCCGATCCCACACTCAGTCCAGAATCACATAAGCCCCTCGAGCACAATAGCATATAAAATATTCAGCCCAAACTTCATTAGAAATATTATTTAAGTTCCAAGTTTTGAGAAAAAGTGTCTGAATTTGCAAAACAGTATTAAATACTAGGACTGAGTTCAATTATCTGTAAATATGGTAAGAAACCAGTAAAAACAATCCCTGAAGGATTCAAGCAGTTGGCACGAAGCCCAATTATGATAATTAATCAATTTTTATAAGGATATCTACTAAGCTTTATTCAATTAGGTAGTAATTTTACTAAGCGGGACGGACTAAGTTACGATCCCCGACGGTGCTCTACTCCACGCCCGTTATCCGGCATGCAAGTCACCTCAACACTACAATGTGCAAATTCGGGGTTTCTACCCCGGTCGTGATGGCACCCAACACACTGCTAGGCAAGCCCGACCAATTCAACAACCTTATCCTTTTTTTATACATTTCATGATTCAATTAACACAAATAATTACTAAGTCATAATACTGAAACTCTGAAATATAATTAAAACATGCGAAAAACCCAAGTAGAAATACTACTACACAACCCGAAGAATCCGGTGTCACAAGTCTGAGCCTCTAATACACGGGTGTCAACCTACTACATATTGCTCTAAAGAAATGCGGAAATAAAGCAAATAGGTTAGATGGGAAGATCAGGACTGCGGACGTCATGCAGCTACCTTGATGCTCCCAAATATGATGCTCGGCACAGAAATCCTCACTCAGCCTCAGTGGGTGCACCTAGATCTGCACACAAGGTGCAGGGAGTAATGTGAGTACTTCCAACCCAGAGAGTAACAAACATAAATAAAGGCTGAGAGTAAGAAATCCTGGATAGGCACAATATAAGCTATTATTACAGCAGTTTAAACCAGATAATATCAAATCAGTAAACCAATGAAAGACAATAATGCTACAACAGGTAAGTAAATGAATGCCAATCAAATAAGAAATGCAACCCGTAATACGGTACTCTCTAGTACCCGCTGCGACGTGCAGCCCGCTCCATTTATTTATCGTTGACGGCGCTCACTGGGGGTGTGCAGACTCCGGGAGGGGCCCCTTACGGCCCAAGCGCAATATCAAGCCATCTCGTGGCATCCATTAGGCCCTAAGTCTCATATCAATATCAATATAATACTGCTGCGGCCTGCAGCCCGATCCCACACTCAGTCCAGAATCACATAAGCCCCTCGGGCACAATAGCATATAAAATATTCGGCCCAAACTTCATTAGAAATATTATTTAAGTTCCAAGTTTTGAGAAAAAGTGGCTGAGTTTGCAAAACAGTATTAAATACTAGGACTGAGTTCAATTATCTGTAAATATGGTAAGAAACCAGTAAAAACAATCCCTGAAGGATTCAAGCAGTTGGCACGAAGCCCAGTTATGATAATTAATTCATTTTTATAAGGATATCTACTAAGCTTCAGTCAATTAGGTAGTAATTTTATTAAGCAGGACGGACCAAGTCACGATCCCCGACGGTGCTCTACCCCACGCCCGTTATCCGACATGCAAGTCACCTCAACACTACAATGTGCAAATTCGGGGTTTCAAACCCTCAACACCAGCATTTACATCTATTACTAACCTCAAGCCGGCCAAAATCCTAGCTTGCTATGCCCTTGCCTCTCAAATCGACCTCCTCGCGCGTCGAATCTGACCAAAACCACAACGAATACGTCACATTATGCTATAGGATCAATACCCAATCGAAAATAATCGAAAAACATCAATAATCCCGAAATTGACAAAACCCGAGCCCCGGGCACACTTTTCGAAACTCAGAAATTTTTACAGAAAAGTGTTCTTCATCTTCTCTCGATTCCGTACATATAAAGAACACCAAAATCGGAGTCCGTTTGACCCCTCAAATCGACCCCTAAAGGTCTCATAATCTCAGGCCCCAAAATCCTATTTTTCTACTGTTTTTCATGAATTAAAGGCTGGGATTATGGTCTATAATCACCCATAAACGAGTTTTAATAATTAAATCACTTACCTCTGTGATACCCGCTGATTTTCTCTCTTAAAAATCGTCTCAGAAGCTTCTTCCCGTTCAAAAATTGGAAGAAAACTCGACCTGATCATTATAGGTATACTGTTCACGCGTTTTACTGCTCCCAATGGATTCCTTGTGAAATTCTAATGAATTTAGGCTTTTGAATCACTCAATTTGGCCTTATAATGAAGGAGATATGTAGGTTTTAAGATTTGCAAAGAGTGCAGGTTTTTAATACGCCGACAGGGGCAATTTCGTCATTAACTTGAAAATCTGGGCAACCTTGGTAAAATGGCCATAATATCCTCATACGATGTCCAAATTCAAAAATTCTTTTTGCTACTGGTCCATAATTACGATACGGATCTAATGCTTTATTCAAAACAGTAATCGGAGCTCATTTGTTCAATATGATATCATTTATGCTTGAAGAACTGACGTCGAAGCATAAGAAAAACGAGCACAACGCAGCCCAAACCTATCCGAAACTCACCCGAGCTCCTCAGGACCGCATACGAACATACTAACACGTCACATATGGACATTCAAACTTAGTTGCACTCTCAAAACACCAAAACTAACATCAAAACACCAAATTTACATCGGATTCAAGCCTAAGTTCTTCTAAAACTTCTGAAACACGCATTTGATCAAAAACCCAAACAAATCACCTCCGAATAACCTGAAATTTTGCACACACATCCCAAATCACCTAACGAAGCTACAGCAACTCTCGAAATTCCATTCCGACCCTCGGATCAAAAGCCCACCTATCAACCGGAATTCGCCAAAATACTAACTTCGCCAATTCAAGCCAAATTCTACACCGGACCTCCAAAATCACTTCCGATCACACTCCTAAGTCACAAATCATCCCACGAAGCTAACGAATCGTCGGAATCCACATCCGAGCCCTCTAACTCATAGGTCAACATCCGGTTGACTTTTCCTAAACAAGCCTTCCTTAAAGAGACTAAGTGTCTCATTTCCTTCCAAAAATCAACCCAATTCAACTCGTTAACACAAGACACTAATAATGAAGCATAACGAAGCGGGAAATGGGAGAAACGGAGCGGTTCTCATGAGACGACGGGTCGGGTCGTCACATATGTCATATGAAGTACATTTTCCAATTTGAGCTTTAGGCATTGTTTGTCCATAATTTTTTTTTTGCCTTTTTTCAAAAATGTATTTGTCCATGAAATGTTGTAAGTTTTTGAAAAAAATTAGTAAATGAGTTTTTCAAAA